AGCTGAGGGCCAAGGCGGTTATCCCTGGTCCTCGGGGATGTGCAGCGCAACAGGATCTGGCCCGCTCAGGGAGCCACATTGATGCTGCTGGAAGTTTCCACCGGGGCCTGTTGCTGCTCTGGGGGAGCTGCTGCTCGAGGGAGCCCCACAATCCGTTTGCTCCCGCACCTCAAAACCTTCCTTGTGTGTGCAGGGCGAGGAGCTGCTCCCTCCTCGCCGAGGCTGGCCCTTCCGCAGAGTGCCTGTACATCCCTTGGCTCGCTTTATTTCAGCTGCTTCTCCTCTTAATCCTCCTTAAAAAGTGCCAGGGAATTTCCCCCCAGCATCAAGGAAGGAGAAAACAAACTCTGGCGTTGGCCAAGTGGCTGTAAGGCCTGCGCTGTCACAGACCTGGCGGAGTCACACCAGGAGTTAAAACAACAACAACAGAAATCCTGGCCAGTTTATTCTAAGACATTGTCTGATTTCCTGCTGTTAATATGTAAATATGCAGGTGTTTGAGCTCCTTTATGCCTGACTTTGAATACTTGCTTATGGCCATGACAAACATACAGGGCTGTTACCATCGGTGTGGTTTTTTTTCTCCGTGACTGTGCTTAGCTTCATAATCCTGAGCAGTTTTTTTGCAGTTGCCAAGGTCTTTCATGGATTTTAGGGGGACTCTTGGTTCACCTTCGTGCTCAAGGTGCTAATAAAACCACGGTAACTTAGATCAGGTGTGTTAACTGGCTTAAACCGAGTGCTGAAAGTTAGGATCATGTTCCCCCTCCCTGTGCCCCCCAAAACAGATCCATCAGGCAGATGGGAAAGGCAAAGGAGCAGAGACTCCTTTGCAATTTAAATACCTGGACTGCTGGCTTGTGACCTGTCTGTAAATTGATGTGGTATTTCCTCTCTCAGAGGGGGGGCGATGAGAAGGTAACAAGGATATCCTGGTGATAGGGCTTGAAATCGTGCTCCAAAATATACAAAACCTTTCCAGACCCCTCCCAAAAGGGAATTTAGTAGCCTGCACTGCTTGAGCTGCAGGACGGGGCGTTGGTTGTGGCTCCGAGGACTGGCAAGTACCTTCTCAGCAGCGTTTGCCTCTGTCCCGGGCTCCTCCGCTGAGCTGGGAGCTGTAAATCCCACAGAGGACTGCCTGGCAGCTCTCCGAGGAGAAGGGCTTGTTCCTGGTTAGGAAGAAAAAAAAAAACAAAACCCCATCTCTCCCCTTTATATCTCTTGTAGAATATTGAAGATAATGGCACAGTTTCCAAAGTAAATAAATTCTTGGGAGAAGCGAAGGAGCCACCTCTGAGCAAACCTACCAATCGTGCTGGTGTGAGCGGTCCAGCTGGCTGCTAGCAGGCGTTTCCTCCGGCTGGACATGGGGTCTCATGGGCTGGCGCGGTTGGTAAGTTTTCTCTTCCTACAGCTCCATGGCTTGAGTCCTTTGGACTTTTTTTTTTTTTTTTTTTTTTTTTTTTTTTTCCCCCCATCTGCTGTGAGATCATGACGGGCCCTGAGAGCTCCTCGAAGCGCTGTCAGGCAGACCTCAGGGTATCTGGACAGTTGGTCAGGACGTGAGGCGCTTGGTTCTTGTGTCCCGGGGCAGGAATGAGTCCTGGTTGTGCTCGTTTGAGGAACTTAATAAAGGAAATGGTTCCTGAGCCACAAATCGCAGAGTTTTTAGTTCCTTTCTCCTTTTACAGGAGTGAAGGCAGGCAAAGGGCGAGACAGCTGTTTCCAGTCTGTAGGGAGATGGTTTCCATACAAAACTGTGCTTGTGACAAGCTGAGGAAGAGGAGGTGGCCAGAAAAAAAATGAATTTTATGAATCGGCGCCCTTTATTTGCCTTAAGGGGAAGTCCTCTTCCACTTGAGGCTTGGCTGGGGGGGTTACAGAAGGACAAACGGGACCTGAACTGCTCAGCAAATTGTTTGTGGGGTGTGAATAAGTGTGTAACGCGGAGCAGGCAATGGTTTCAGGGCATGTGTCTGTGTGAGGGTGCTGGAGGGGAGCTCCTGCTTCTCAGGAGAGTCTGTAGCCCCCAGGATGGATTCAGAATCATTGGCACTGACTGTCCCTCTCCCCCTTCTATCCTGAGCAAACACGTGGAGAGTGAAGCCTTGTGCTCTGGTACCCGCTCGGTTTCACCGCGCTCTGAGTAGGTTTATACAACATTACACCCTCCGGAGGTGAAACTGTTGCTGCTGGACTCGGGAGGTGAATTGTAGAAGTGAGAAACTCGTGGAGGGATTACACCGCAACTGCAGCGACCCAGAGCTTCTCTCCCAGTCATTATCCTTATTTATTTGTTCGGGCTAATGGGATCTCTCCTGGTATGTGTCTCTCTCTTTCTGGCCAGCTCAGCATTGCTCTTATTTGTAGTCAGGGCTGTTAATCCTCAGCAGTGCCCTAATTCTGCTGAAAGGGAGGGTGCAGCCGTTGAACTCGGGCAGCCGTACAAGCTCCCGGCTTGCTGGGAAGAAAGCGTCCTTTTATCACAGGCCAGCTTGCTGGGTGCGAGCGTCTGATGCTTTCGTCTCCGGGAGGTTGCCACAGCGAGTGGCTTCAAGGGAACGGATGCCCTTCGCTAAGGAACGGGGCGAGTTATTTCCATGCGATGCTATTCCAGGCGCCTGGGACTCTGACCTGACTCTTCCCGGGGATTTATGTGCTCGGTCACAGCAGCAGGGCTCTGAAAGAGCCTCCGTGGTGCCTCGAGAGGAGCCGTGGAGCCTGTGCTGGTGAGGGGCGAGCTGCCTGCCTTTGGGAAGCCAGCTCCTTGGTGACTTGGCCTGGGGCCCGATCGCTCGATTTCTCAGTGGGTTTTTGTGTGGCAAAAGGCTTTGCCTTCCCAGAGAGGAGGTGTCTGTCTCGGTCCGTGCTGTGCAAGGGGAGCTGAGGGCCTTCACCTCTGGTTTTATGTGAGCATTGCCTGCATCTCAATTACCTGGAGGACTTTTCCCCCGACCTTAAGCTGTAGAAAGATGTGACGAGCGTCCCTTGCATTGGGCAGCAATGCATAAGCCTCCTGCACCGTCCCTGCTAGCCGACAATTTCAAAACCAAACAAACCCCTTATTTTCCCACTGCAGACGTGCCTTTTGCCTGGGGCTCCTGCAGCCACGTGCTGGCAGCGGATGATGCTTGAAGCAAGGTCAAGTTCACTCTCCCTGTGGTTGGGTGCTGGCCCCGTTGCCCTCAGCCAGCCTGTGCTGATGCCTCTTTCCTCCGATGCTGCTGAGCCCTTGCTGGGCCGCAGAGCACGGTGTTTGCTGCCATCAAAACGAAACCCACGGCTGGTTTTCCCCACCCATGTAGTCCCTCGTCCTGCCCTGGATCCCCCGCAGCTCCCCGGGCAGGGGTGTGAGGTTGTTAAACAGCTGCTCTGCCTGTGCCAGATCTTCTCTTCGCCGAGCTGGAGCCCAGCGCTCTGCCGCAGTCCTGGGACACGGTTCTTGCCCGGTCCCTGTAAGCAGCAAAAAGCCACTCGCTGTGCTTACACAACACTTAACTGGCTGGTACGATCTGTTATAAGCCATCCAGGGCTTTGTATCTTCATCCTGCTCCTCGTCCTCTGCCAGCATTTCCCATCGCTCCTGCCATCCGAACATCTCTAAATGCCACAGCACTGGCTTCCCGTCGGCTCGCCCGCGCTGGGGCTGTCTTTTGGAGACGCCTTGAGTAAACCCCTAGCATCTGTATTCCTCAGACGGCCGTAATTCCCCGTTTGAAGTCAGGACGTTGTCAGCAGCGGTAATAAAGTGCATTCGAGCTCAGACAAGTTCTCCCTGGCACCTTATCTAGGCAAATATTATCAAGCTATTGAGCCATACAGCGACTGCTGGATGGGGGTGACTGGGGAATTTGCCAAAGGAAGTGTTGAGGGTGAAATGTCTTTCTAGTCCAGAACAAAAGATTTAGCAAATTGTGAGGATTTAGGAGTCTTTTTCCCTGGCTTTGCTGTCTTAAACCTTTAAAAACAAACTGTTGTAACTGCCCCTGTGGCAAAAGCAGCCTCAGCCTCGGTGTTATCGCTCTGCGGCATTCTGGGCAGAAGTGCTGAGTGTCAGAGTTGCCAAACTCCCGAGGAGAGTGTTGAGAGAGGAAGGCAGCGAGGCCGCAGGGGTGGTGAATCGTCCTCATCCTCACAGCTGCCCCTCGGGGCCGGGGGGCCCCTGCCTCATCCCACGCTCCCACCGTGCCATCGGAGGAGCCGCGGCCGCTCGCCCTGTGCCCCCCCGCCCACCTGTGCCTGCCGAGGCCCTCGAGTCCCCTGCTCCTCCACCGTAACTTGGCCCTTGCCTCTCCCCGGCGCACAGATCCCGTTTATTTAACCGCCGTCGGCTCGGTGGCCCTGGCTCCCGTGGGCACCTCCTCTCCTTCATGTGCCGCCTGCTGCCACGCTCGCCGACAGCTTTTCTCAGCCCCCCGAGGTCCCGCTGCCATTCAGCACCAGCAGCTTTTTTTATTCCCCGAAATGACCTTTTAATTACATAACGACTTACAAACACTCGGCACCCGACAACATACCAAAATAATTGAAACAATGTTTTTCCAGCCTTCAAAAACACCATTCTGTACCAAAACTCGGTCCTTTTTGATTCCCCAAGTTAGAAAAACATCTCGGGGAGATGGCGTGAGCTGGGCACGTGAGCCCGCTGGGCACGTGAGCCCGCCGGGCACTCGCCTCCGCGTTGCAGTGGGGGGCTCAGCAGGGCTGTGATGGTCTCTGTCAGCCCCGGGGGGGGCTGTAGCTGCGGGTCAGGGCTGTGCTGGGGTGCAGGCAGATGAGCGAGGGCTGCGGCCGGTTGCTCACCGTAATTGGCATTTCCCTTTGGTGGCAAACAAACCTCAAAGGCAAGTGCAGGGGGAAGGTGATGAGGTGGTGAGATTCCTCTAGCCCCCCAGTAACCCCCCCGCTCTGCTGAAGGGGTGTGGGTGAGGTGTGACGTTGGGGGCAATGCGGGGAGACACCGGGAGAGGCTCTCGGGCGTCGGGGCCTCGGGCTGGGGGCACCGAGGAGCTGCCAACTCGGCTCTGGCTGCTGGTCTTACTCCTTCATCTCTCTGCTTCCTCCTCGCAGATCAAGAGGCAGCATGGCTGCGACTGCTGCCGTCAGCCCCAGTGAATACCTGCAGCCGGCCGCCTCCACTGCCCAGGTGAGCGCGGGGGCATCGGCGGGCTCCTGGCTCCCCCCCCCGGGGTGCAGGGACAATTCTGGGGTGCAGGACAGCAAACGCTGCATCCTTCAGCCCCTCCTGCCTGCGCTGTAGCTAGCGTTGCCACGTCAGGAGGAGCAGGACAGGCTGGGGAGCTGCGCTCTGGACTTGTTCCCAGCCCCGACACCAACTCTTCCAGAGTGTTGCTTCTCCTCCCCGCGGTGTGTTTTCCTTGAGGACCTCTGGGTCGTGTTAGAAGCTGATACCACAGGGTGGTCTTGAAATTAAAACTGCCTGTGACACTCCAGGTGTGTGTAATGGGTGTAAATACCAGCAGACTTGCAGGGTATTTGCAGCTTTATAGAGCTTGTAAGAACACAGGCACCACGATTAAAAGGCAAGTCGCCATCCTGATGGCTAAAAGTGGTGTGAGGAGGATTAGCTAAAGGCACATGTGGTGTGGGTAATTAAGCAGTTCCCTTAATAAGGGATGTCTCATTGGCGTGGACTGGCTCACTTTCGATAGTGTGTACCCTTTCCTTTGCTGACTTGATCTCCAGATGTTTGACACAAGCCCCTGTCTCTAACTTTCCCGGCTCCCCAGGACTCGCAGCCGTCTCCTCTGGCCCTTCTCGCAGCCACATGTAGCAAAATCGGTCCCCCTGCCGTGGAAGCCGCCGTGACTCCTCCTGCCCCTCCTCAGCCAACGCCTCGCAAACTCGTCCCCATCAAACCTGCTCCGCTCCCTCTGGGCTCCGGTAAGAACAGCTTTGGGATCCTGTCGTCGAAAGGGAACCTCTTCCAGATCCAGGGCTCTCAGGTCGGCACCTCCTACCCCGGGGGACAACTGGTTTTTGCCATTCAGAACCCAACTGTCATCAACAAGGGGACCCGCTCGTCCGCCAACATCCAGTACCAGGCGGTGCCCCAGATCCAGGCTGCGGGGGGACAAACCATCCAGGTCCAGCCCAACCTCACCAACCAGATCCAGATTATTCCAGGCACGAATCAAGCCATCATCACCCCTTCCTCTTCCTCTCACAAGCCTGTGCCCATCAAACCGGCTCCGGCGCAGAAGGGTGGAGCTTCGCCGGTGCAGGGCACGAGCAACGTGGTCAAATTAGCCGGTGGCAGCAACGTGACTCTGACCCTGCCCGTCAATAACCTGGTGAACGCAGCTGAGCCGGCCACGCAGGCTCAGATCCTCGCAGAGAGCCCCTCAAAGCCCAGCAAAAAGACTCGAAAGAAAACCATGTCACCCGCCCAGCCCGCCGCCGTGGCCGTGGCCGAGCAGGTGGAGACGGTGTTGATAGAGACCACGGCGGAGAACATCATCCAGGCGGGCAACAACCTGCTCATCGTGCAGAGCCCCGGCTCCGGGCAGCCGGCCGTGGTGCAGCAGGTGCAGGTGGTGCAGCCCAAGCAGGAGTCGCAGGTGGTGCAGATCCCGCAGCAGGCCCTGCGCGTGGTCCAGGCCGCCTCCGCCACGCTCCCCACCGTCCCCCAAAAATCCTCCCAGAACTTCCAGATCCAGACGACGGAACCCGCTCCTACCCAGGTACCGCCTCCTGCGTCCTTCTCCGAGGTCCCTCTGCCCTGGTTCTCCTCTGAGCCCTCACCTGGGCTTTAAAAAGCTGAAGGGTTTTGTGAGCTGCCAAGCATCCTCAGCTTGGCATCCAGTTTAGACATCGCTTGTGTGGATTCTCTGATGTCTGAGGAGGGCTGGGAGCGCAGCTGTTCCCTCCACAGGGCTTTACTAAGTCTCTCTTGCTGGCCACCTCCTTTTACAGTGGCCTTGAAACCTCTGCTGTGCCACCAGCGTGGGCTGGGCTGAGCCAGCCTGCTCAGAAGCTTTGGGGAGACAGAGAGAGGTGGGGCAGTGGAGCTTTAGAACTCTCTTTAGTGTTTCCTTTGGCAACCAGGCTGCAAGGCCAAAGCAGCTCTTTGCAGCCGTGCAAAAGGCCAAGGACCTTTCTTCAGGACGCCCACAAAGGGACTTCAGATGCTTGGGCAAGTTCTACTCTTTGGCTCATCGTGGGCCCAGATTCCTGCCTTGTGCAGGGAGGGCGACCATCGTGGTGGAGACGGCTGTGCCCGGTGGCAGCGGCTGGTCTCATTCCTCTTCTCTCCTCCCACCAGGTCTACTTCAAAACGCCGTCGGGTGAGCTGCAGACAGTGCTGCTCCAGGAAGCCCCAGCCATGACGGTGGCTCCATCTGGGACCTCTTGCAGCAGCCCCGTGTCCCGTAACTCCGGCACGGGAAGCAGCACCAGCACCACCACCACCAGCAGCAGCAGCAAGAAACCAGCCACGCGTAAGGAACGTCCCCTGCCAAAGATCGCTCCCGCCGGAGGCATCATCAGCCTGAACGCGGCTCAGCTGGCGGCCGCGGCGCAGGCCATGCAGACCATCAACATCAACGGCGTGCAAGTCCAGGGCGTGCCCGTCACCATCACCAACACCGGAGGTGGGCTGCGTCCTGCTCTGCCGCGGGGCGGGAGGGACAGCAGGACGCGGGCAGCTCCCCCATCCCCAGGACAGAAAGCCACGCACACCCCCCGCCCCCCAGCGCTTTTTTTTTTTTTTTTCAGCTGGGATATTGCAGCTTTGTAAACAGATCCCTTGTACCCCGAGGCTGAATGTTGCTGCCTGTTAAATGTTATCAGTTTCTGGAGCTCCCCTGTCGCTCCGGGAGGCCCCGGGTGTATCGTAGGGTGTCTCTTTGGTGGTTCTGCTGGGTGTTTCCAAGCCTGGCTGGATGAGCTGTGTCAGGGAGGGTGGTTGGCGGAGGCAGCCGAGCTGTGTGGTCGTGCCGAGCTGCAGGACGTGTCTGAGCGCAGGGGCTGAGCCTGCCCGAGAGCCCAGACCAGCTCTGGCTGCTCCCGAGGTGCCGGGGTAAGGCTGAGCTTTGCCCAGACCCTTGGTGTCTGTTTTTTTCCGGAGAGCTGTGACCCAGCCAGGCAGAGGGACGTGGTGCACCGGGGTTTTCCCTCCTGCACAGACCGCCCTGCGGGACTGGGACACCTCACATCCACTGGATGGTAGTTTAGGCTTCCAGTAGCCAAACTGGGAGAGGCGTGTTCACACACACACACAGGCTCTGTGCTCCTCCAAGCTCCGTAGCGAGGGATCACCATTCCCTGTGAGTGAACCCAGCCCCTCACCACCACGGGGCGAGTGTCTTTAAGCCAAAAATAGCCATCAGTGGCCGTGGAGCAGCCTGTGAGCCACAAGCAGCCCTGCTGCCCGCCTGCCCCCGTGTCACCAGATCCTGGTGGCCGCTCTGTCTTCCCCTCCTGCCCAGCAAACCTTCCCCAGCCCAGTCCTGGGGCAGCCGAGGGGCGGAAGCTGTGTCTGAGGGAAGTTTTATCTGCTTTCTGATCCAGAAAGACCTGCTGCCGCGCGGTGGTTTCTCTCTCAGCAAGAACCGGGCAGGAGGCCCGGCTCGGTTTTGCAGTCGGAAGCTGTTCTTTCTTGCTTGACTGAACGCTGTCAGCATAAAACCCGGGCCAGTGTGGTTTTGTGCTCTGCAGAGGGCCGCCGTCCTCGCTGGGGTTGCTTTTAAGGGGGTTTTTAATTGCTGCTTGGCGTGGAAACCCGGGGCCAGCCGCAAGCGTCGGCGAGATACCACGGGCAGATTTGGGTGCTGTCTGCGCTGCTGCCCGCAACGCGCCGCAAGGCTGGCGGGGGCCCCGCCGTGGCCCCGGCTGCGAAAGCGACCGGTAGGACCTGCTGGCTGCTGCCTGCGAATGAAACGAATTGAGTCGGGTCTCAGCCAGGGCTCAACTAGGACGTGCCCGAGCGGCCGTGTGGCCTCGCGGCACTGCCAAAGGGCTGCCCCGACCCTCGGCTTCATGCTTTCCCTTCCCGTGGATGTGGTGGCACCTTTGCTCAGCCTGCGCCCCCCGATCCCTTCTTCTTTCTGCTGTCAGATCCCACTCCTCCTCCTCATCCTCCTCCTCCTCCTTCCCTGCTTGCTGACGCTGACCCCATCTTCTTCTTTCCAGCCCCCGTCATGGCTGCCGGGTGCTGTGCAAGGCCCAGGCTGCCGCCTCCGTGAGCGCCCGAGCGTGGAGCGGCCCTTAGGGTCCGGGGTAAGTCCCGTTTTTTTGGTCAATATATTGCACGTTTTTTCAAAGTTTCTTTTTTGTTTCCTCTTTGGTCATTTCCCCACCCCGAAGGGTCAAACCAAAAACTTTGAAAAACCGCACAGTATATTCAGAAAAAAGGGACTTACCGGCCCCGCTTGGGGACCAGCACGTGGCGGGGCAGGGGGGCCGTGGCAGTGCTGCATGCAGGGCTGGGGCTGTCGAGATTTGGGGTGTCCCGTCCCGCACACGGGGTGGGGAGGGGTCGGGGCAGGGGGGGTCTTTCCTTCCAGGAAACCTCCGGAGGGGTTTCGGCCGGACCCGCGCGAGGAGCATGGACGGACGCGTTGGGGCAAAGCCTGACTCCCCACTTTTCCTCCCCAGGGCAGCAGCAGCTGACGGTGCAGAACGTATCTGGCAACAACCTGACCATCAGCGGCCTAAGCCCAACCCAGATCCAACTCCAGATGGAACAAGCTCTGTCCGGAGAGATTCAACCCGGGGAGAAGAGGCGGCGGATGGCCTGTACCTGCCCCAACTGCAAGGACGGGGAGAAGAGGTGAGCGGGGAGACACGGAGAGGGGCAGCCCTGTGCCACCGGCGCCCATCTCCGAGGCTCTAAACCCTGGTTCTCCTTGCCAGGCCGGGCGACCCAGGGAAGAAGAAGCACATCTGTCACATCCCCGAGTGTGGCAGGACCTTCCGTAAGACCTCGCTGCTGCGCGCCCACGTGCGCTTGCACACGGGCGAGCGCCCTTTCGTCTGCAACTGGGTCTTCTGCGGGAAGCGTTTCACACGCAGCGACGAGCTGCAGCGGCACGCTCGCACGCACACAGGTCTGCGGGGCGCGGCGGGGCTCCTTCCCTCTTCCCCCCTGGGAGAGTCCCCAAATCCCCCCTGCAGGGTCCTGAGCCTTGTGAGAGAACCAAGGGGATGTGCTGAGCCCAGGAGCGGGGTGATTTGGGGCCAGTGCAAGTTGTCCTTGGGGTTTAACTGAGTTACTGGGAGGGACTGGAGAACCTGGGGGGGGGGG